TCAACATTATATGTAGTTGCAAAGAATTGGAAACATACCAAATGTTCTTCAATAAGTGTCTAGTAAAATAAATTATATCATTTTTATATAGTGGAATACAATTTAGCCATTGGAAAAAAATAAGTCAGCTTTGAATGTATTGATATAGAACAATCTATACCTTGCAAGATACCTTAGTGTATCATTTGTTAGCATTTGTTTATGTATGTATGTATGTTTTCTTCTATCTGCTAGGACTACATCTGGAAGAATGGGTAAAGAATGTCAAACTGTAGGGCTGGGGATGTGGTTCAAGCGATAGCGCGCTCACCTGGCATGCGTGTGGCCCAGGATAGATACTTGTTTTTCTAATCCTATTACATTTACATACATATATACATATATAGTAATCTCTTATCTACGTTGAGATTATTTCTGAGACTTACTGTCTACTGTATAGCACTGTATATACAATTTTGAATTGTAAACTGTATGTATTAGTGCTGCAAATAAAAAAGACAAAACTGAGGAAGAAAGAACCTACCAGATTTTATTTTTAAATAAGACCAAAAAATTTTAAAAATCTAGCTTACAGGGTACATTCTGTGGTATGCAGGTTATATCTCGATTTAAAAAGAAAGAATGTAGCTTACAAAACAAGGTTGTGATGAATCGCTTGAGAACTGGGTGGAGGCTGTGGAATCCTCCTCATCAAGCCCAATGTCAAGAGCTAGCCAAGATCTCCCCAAGATTCAGTTTTATAGTTTAGCCTAGTTTTATAGTTTCAAACCTGATTGGGCAAAGCCCAAGCCTGCAGCCAGCCTGGAAGCAGCTCTTTGCTCTTCTCATAAGTCCTGCCAGAAAGCTGATCCTACCTCCTTCTAACAGTCGGGTCCCCAAAGAGGGCCAGACCAACCCAAGGCAACAAACCGTCTCTCCTCAAGACTGACACCACAGCATAGAAGCCCATCGTGAGGCAGGTCAACCAGGCCAAGTCAGGACAACAAGGATCCAGTGCCACAGCTGGACAGATGAAGTCTGATACCCAGGAGAAAAAGGTGCTAGGAATGGAGAAAAACTAATGAAGTGCAAACCAAGAGGAGCTGGAGAGAGGCTGGCAAGCAGGTGAAGGCAGGTTTAGGTCAATGTTTAGAAATAAGATCAGGAACCATGGTTCTTGGCTTGCGTGTGCACTTAGGCACAAGCGGACAAAATTTGACAACTACTCCATTTGTATGATCATCAAATGTTTATTGGAACTTTTTATGAGTAGAGCACCAGGTCTGGAGATACAAACATATACAAAATAAAACAAGGGCTTCCAGTTAGTTCAAAAGTGATGACTTTTACCCAACTACAGGCACATTTAAGGAGCTGAACAAGGGTAGGAGCAAAACCACAACCCAAAAGAGAAGCTGAAAATCCCTAGAAGAGGATTCAAGGTTTTCTTCAGCACAAGGCCTCAGTGGGTGTTACTAAAGTTGCAGGGACATTCTTAAGGAAAGGAACTTGAACAGAACTGGAAGGGGAGTAGTGCTGACCCAAGGGGAAGAGAAGAAGGAGGCATATTGGGCCTCCAGGGAAGCATGGGAGGTAGGAATGCTTGCCACTGGTGGTTTGGACTAACACCCAGAGTGGGTCACTGGGTCAGGACTGTGAATTAGGGCAGGACAGCAGTGGAGTCCAGACCCCTGTGTGGAAGGCCCTGACTACCAGCCCAGAAGTTCGACTCTTACAGTGCAGACAGTGGGGAGTCATTGAAGGTTGCTGAGTAGGAGGGTGACCCTTGCAAACAGGCATTTTAAGTGAGATTACAGAGCAGCCCTTTATCTGGGGCTTATTCAAAGTCCTGTGAATTTCAAGTGGCACTTCAGACAGAAAGTCCTAACGCTTTTGCCCTGTGTCATGTAGACCAGAAAAGGAAGGTTTAAGAGTCTCACAAAGAGATGCTTCAGTGAGAATGAGAAATGAAGGGGAGGCGGGGTGCTTTAAAGAAGGAACTAGACTTACAGAACTACTAGCCATGGCATCTGGAAAACTGACCTGCTTTCTTAAGGTCAGAATGGAATGCCCTCTTCAGCTGGGGGTGCTCAATCTCCTTTTTTGGAGGTAAGTTTTGACGTCAAAACACTGGGTTGCCGTGTCAGGAGTAAGGTAGCCAGGAGGAAGCAGATGAACAGAAAAATACATATCAGGTCTGGACAGCATAAAAGATCTCCATTCTAAGAGCACCCGCTTCCACAGTGCTTCTCCATCTGCCTCCCTCAGGAGCACCTTGGGGTTTTCTGCTGGAGTTGCTGAACTCCAGTATTTTTCCTCTTGGAACACTAAAATTATTTTGAAATCTGTCAAGTTTTGAATTAGAGCTTTTACATTACTGTCCCTAATTGTGCACAGCAAGGCAGCAGGCAGAGCTGCTCAGAGGCCATGAACTGGGCAGCAACTTCAAGCCATAAATCAGCATTTATGTAAGGTGGGAGAGGAAGTCAGGATTAAGTTTCTGGTCTTAAACTGGGCTGTGTACCATTGCAAGGCAAGCTCTGTGAATGCAAAGGCAAAGCCAAGCAAGCCCAGGAAAGGGCCTGAATTTTGTGCAAAATTCAGCCAGGCTGAAGAAGTAAACAGGGCAACTGTTTGGTAGACCCACCACTCCAAGGAACCCCACTTCTTTCTCGGATCCTTGCAAGAGGCCCCTCCCCTGTCCTCTTCCAGCTACTCTAGGACCTTTGGGTATTTTTAACCCCTGAAAGGTTTGCAAACTCAAAGCTTTTTTTCTTTTGGGCTCCTTTTCTGGCCCTCATGCCAAGTGTTGGGCACCATTAGGCATTCACTAAAACAGTCCCAGTCAGGTGATGCAGTTGACCAGGACCTTGACAGTCAAGTTCAGTAAAAAACCAAATGTCCCTAGAACAGGGGGTTATGCAACCTAGGGTGGCTCCTACTGCAATGGGGCTTTTGCTCTAAACCTCATTCCCCTGTGGCAACTGTAACCAGACATCCCAGGCTTTCCAGAACTGTCCTGATTTTACATGTTTGTCCTGGAGTCTCTGGAAGCATATAGGTGGGACTGCCAGGGACTGTCCCCTAATGTTTTGGTTTGACAAATGGTCACTGTGCACATGATACACAGCTGGCATGAGCCTGCAAAACAACATATTCCTTCCAGGTGAAGTTCAGCTGTTTGGTCGGGAAGAAGGCCAGGCATGGAGGCGCTCCAGGGTCATCGGAGCCTGCCACACTGAGCAGATAGGCTGCCCATGCACTGCAGTGGGGTGGTGCCACTGAGTCACACACCAACCTAGCAGGGCTGAGTGCTGCCCTGTGAGTCTTCTGCATAGGACAGGGTGTAAACTGGTTGAGATTTGGGATAAGAGAAGAATGGCCCTGCACAAATCCAGTACATGTTTTTGACAATGTAGTAGAGGAACTGTGTGATCCCTCTACTACAGTTGGCCACCTCTGAGGCCCTCAAGAAGAAACTGTTTTCTTTCCACACTTGCAGGCTTGGGTCCCTTCCTGCAAGCAGCATCTTAGTAGATGTGAGGACCCCACCACCTGGTCTGTACTGCAGGCCTTACTTTGGAAGCAGGCCTCGGGGAGCGCCACTGGAGAAAATGTGCAGTGAGTTATTCCTCTGCCTGTCCCTGGCCCCAGACACCATCACAGACACAGTCTTAAAACCCCAGCAGGATTTCTTTGGCCACAAAGTATCTTCCCCTGTGGCCAGAACATAATAAAGGAATTAGGACCCCCCCCCCCCCCCCGCAATTAAGTTTCTGCAGGTGACACTTCAAGACCCAAGACAGTTGGCCAACTCAGACACACATGGTTTGACAAGTCTTCCTAGTAGTCCAATCACCCATGCAATTCTGCTAATTCAAACAGCTTTCCCGTTTAGAGAGGTTGATAGCCATCACCTGGCTCCTTTACCTGCTGACGTCATCCCACATTTTCTCCAGACACAAATGAGGGTACAGCTCCTGGCACAGTTTCCAGGCTGCCTAAATTAAGAGAGGAGGGATCCTGCCCTCACGAGTTCACTCCAACTCTCAGGCCTTTGGCAAGTTGTCAAAGGTTAAGGGAGAGGCAAGGAAACAAATCACCTAGCTAAGGTTGAAGGGCAAAAAGAACGTAGAGACTTGCAGCTCAGGCCCAGATCTGTCCTGGGCATTTGCAATGCAAATCTGCGTTTTGTACGCCACCACCAAGATCTTGCACAATAGCCTATGTTATAAACATCCACGCCAACAATGCCTGACTGTGCAATCACGCTGTAATTACAGGCCGGCAGGAAGCTGCTGCTTGGAACTGCACCACTCAACCTCTAGACATCCCATCTCGGAGTCTCCACCGCTTGGACACACATTCCTGCACACATCTCGAGTCCCCGCCGGGCTGCTGCTGCTACAGTTGCAGACGCAAACCAGGGAGCCCGGGCGCCACCCGCCCGGCCCGCCAAGCCTGGAGTTACTCCTCAGGGATGTCATAAACTTCTCAGCTGTTCTTTAAAAGACCCTGCGCCACGAGGCTACCGAGGGCGGCGGGAACCACCATCAGAGTTTCCAGGCACATTCCTGCAGCACTAGCAGTTTTAGAAAACAGAAAAGAACGAGATGCCACAGAGTCCATTGGAAGCGGCTTTCTGGGTTTTATATAGAAAACACTCACATATGTACGTGGGCGTGCTGACAGTTTTTATGGCTAAATTGCAAAGTGTTAGGCCTTAGCGATTACCGTCAGGTTCGGGACGCGGTAGGGGGAAGAGATAAGGGTGGGGGAGTCGGGGGGATTCGATGCAAAGGAACTGGGGAGCAATTCGGGTTTTCTTTTCTGGAATGCGTAGGGTGGTTTTTCCAAACTTCTGAGTTGCTCTATTCACTGGAGGGCCAAGCAAATAAAAGTGGGGGGAAAGTTCCTGTAACTTCCTTCCTGCATCCTCGTTGAGGGCTACGAAAAGGAAGGGAACGTTTCCCAGGGAAACGCTGGGAGTGGAATGGGGGTGGCTGCGCCAGTCTACAGGGATGGGGCGTGGGACAGAGGAGCCGCCCCAGATGTAGGCCCAGGGAAGCCCCTTCCCCGCACCCCTTTTCTCTCAAACGGCGCCTGGAACCCGCCTGGCTGCAACCCTAGCTGTTTTAAGTCCTGTAGCAAAGCAGCGACTCTAGGGGTGCAGCCAGGGCCCTGATCCCCGCCGCCCAGCTCCTCCCCTGCAGTGCCCCTCGGTACCACCCCGCCCGGCCCGCCACATCCCCGCCCGCGCCTGGTAGCCTGAGCCCCGGAACATTTCCAAGCCCCACATCTGCACCCCGGCAGCGGAAAGGGGCGCGGAGCCCGCGGCTCACCTGTGCGCTGGATCCCGGAGCGGCTCCGAGGGGCGCGGGGCGCGGGGTTCAAGCAAGCGCGGCCCGCAGACTCAAACTTTGTTGCTCTCGGGACGGCGCAGTCGTCACTTCCTCGCTGAACGGGCGGCGCAGTCTGGGCTGTGACCCAACTGCTCGCGCGGCGGCGCGCCGGGCCCTACAGCCACCAGCCCCGCCCGCGCCCGGGATCTGCGCGCCCAGAGCCCGGGAGCTGGCTTTGGGCTCTGCGCTTCCCGGGCCGCGCGGGGAACCAGAAAGTCTGAGCGATCTTCCACCAAATGCAGCCGCTGGGGAAGCCTCCCTCCACCGAATCCTCCCAGAGCCGTGGAATTGTGTTCGGAGGAGCCGCGCCGAGGTGACCCGCTCTCGGGCTGGTCTGGGAGGTGGTGTTGGGCTTAGGGACCTGGGGACTGAGTTCAGGAGACCCTAGAGAACTAAAGTTCCGGGAAAAACACTCCCCTACACACACACACACACACACACACACACACACGGCTGAGGGAGGGAAAGGAAAGGTTTTTTGGTTTGGGGTTGGGGTTGGAAAGGTCATGTGAGAAAGCAGTGTGCTCTGTGTTTTCCGAAATGTCTGAACTAGGCCCTCAAACACGGGTCTCCTGTCAGTACATTCCCCCAAAAAGCCTGTGCGATTGTCCTGTCACTTTCACGTGTTGTGCCTGCGCAGGACGTTTACCAGGTATTAGGTTGCAGGGGCTATTTTAGCGCCCAAGTTGGGGCTACAAAATGGTGGTTCTGTTCGTAGTCCTCCTCCGTGGATTTCCACCTATTTCTATCTCAGAAGATCACTTTGGGGCCTGATGCACTCAGGGTTTCGTCGCTGGACAAAAGTGTCTTTTGGTGGAGTGGAGGGTGGAGTCCTGTGAACTTCAGGCTTCAGGCAATAGTAATTTTGAAATTTTATCGTTTCCTGAAATAAATTTGCTCACCTTTTTAAAAACTACAATAGAAAGCTACCCTTTGGGTTACTGATAAGTAGCAACAAAGTAGTTAAACAGCAGTATTCAAGGAAAAATTCGTAATCCTCTAAAGCTGGATGGAAACCGGGGTTAGCCTCTGCTGTGGTTTACAAAAAAAAAAAAAAAAAAGCAGTCAAAACTGCAGTGGAGGACTTTTCCTAACAGGAACATTCCCTTCATTGTAGCTCGCCCTGGAAAACAGGAATCTGTGAACGGTGGCTCAAAAGCCTCAATTAGTGAGGGCTGGACAATTTTCCCATTTTCCCCATGTGGGTCAGGAAAAAAAAACTCCCTTCCAAAGCTTCATATTTTTACTAAATGACAGAAAATCATAGACTTGAGTGAAGTCTTTGTCCAGAAAGGTATATAGATGTAAAACTGATGGAAAATAACATCTGGGAAATGATTGCCAGGTCTGTGTTAATACTTCGAAAGCCACAGAATCACCCAAAGATTGGGAGCATGAATATCCAAGCTGTCCTAGCAATACAAATCCTCTACATTGAAGCTGTTAAGGCCCTAGTTCTGGTTTTTAGAAGCATCAATGGCACATTATAAACACAAAGCATATTCTATAAGAAAAATAATATTGCTTTAAGAAATAAGTTTATCAAGCCAGGTACAGTAGTGCACACCTGTAATCCCAGCTACTTAAGAGCCTGAGGCAAAAGGATCACAAATTCCAGGTCAGCCTGGGCAATGTAGCAAGACCCCGTCTCAAAGTAAAAAAATAAGGGCTGGGGCTCAGTGGCAGAGGACTTGCCTAGCACATGTGGGGCACTGGGTTCAATCCTCAGCACCACATAAAAATAAATAACATAAATAAAGGCATTCTGTCCATCTACAAGTACCAAAATTTTTTAAAATAAATAAATAAATAAAAATGAAAAGGGCTGGGAATGTAGGTTGTGGTAAGGCACTCCTGGGTTCAATCCCCAGTTCAGAAAGAAAGACAGACAGGCATCATTAGACTCCATAATTATAATTCTTTCAATTTCATTATATCACATTCCTCGGGGGAAGGAGATGAAGGAGGAATTGCCCATTTCAGTTTTGTAGTAGAAGTAAGTCCTTAATGCATTTTGCTTAAGGCAACCAATTAGGTGGGAAATGTCCACCAGGCATCTAAAGATAGTTGTGTGAGGGCTGGTGTTGTGGCTTAGCCAGGCAGAGTGCTTGCCTAGCACATTCAAGGCCCTGGGTTCGATCCTAGCACCACATAGAAATAAATAAATAAATAAATAAAGGTATTGTGTCCAACCAGAACATACATAAATATATTTTATATATAAAGATAGTCATTCGATACTCCATATTTTCTAAAACAAGAGCAGAATATTTCTTTGTTCAGTGTTGTGATTCCAAATTTCCCAGTCACAATTTCATGAATATTCAGTATTTCTGCATGCCCAGGAGTAATTAGCAGATGGTGTAAAGTGTGAAGGTGCACATAGAGCACTGCTTTCTCTACATAAGGTGGCCTTTGCTGGGTTTCAGAGCACTGTGTGGAGGATGTGGTAGACAGCCTGTAAGACAGCTTCTTACCAATGATCTCTGCCTTCTGGTGTTCACACTCTTGTGTAATCCCCTCTCCTTAAGTGTAGACCCAATGATTGATTCTAACATTTAGAATATGGTAGAAGTGTTGTGATGTCACTTCTGAAATTAGGTTATTAAAAAACCTGCAGGGGCTGGGATTGTGGCTCAGCGGTAGAGCGCTTGCCTAGCACGGGCAGGACCCAGGTTGGATCATCAGCACCACACAAAAATAAAAGGCATTGTGTTATGTCCATCTACACCTAAAAAAATAAATATTAAAAAAAAAACCAAAAAACTGTGAGTTCCATCTTGGGTGCTCTGTCTTTTACTCTGCCTTGGATCACTCACTGTTGGGGGAGCCAACTTCCATGTCCTAAAGTGGACCTGTGGAAAAGAAGTAAGGCCTGCCAACCACCACTCAAGTGAGCTTGGAAAGGGATCCTTTCCCTCCCCCATGCTAATCAAGCTCTCCACTGAGACCTTCAGCCCCAGCCAACAGCTTGACTACAACCTAACCCCAGCTAAGCTGCCTGGATTCCTGACCCACAGAAACTGTATGATAATAAATGTTTGTTGTCTTAAGCTGCTGCATTTTGAGATAATTTGTTACACAGACACACATAACTAATACAGAGGTCAACAGAGAAGTCCATCAGGGACCGATGACAACCTCACATGACCTTCCTGATCCCTCATAGAAAACAGAACAAAGAGAAAAATCAAGGCCCTGACCCAGATTGAAGTGTAATACATAAATTCCAAGAACAGAAAGCTTAGCCCTCACTTCTTTTGCAGAACAAGAGTTATCCTTGATTTTAAACTAGGTCAGAGGGTGTGGAGTGCTGCTCAATCACAGGCAACCCAGGTATTGGGTGTCACCTACCTGAGAGCACATGCAGATGTCTTTGTGTCACAAGAATTGACATCTGTATAGGCATCCTCCTTCTCTTCCTCAGGGCATGTACCCTGATCCCTGAGGCCTTGACATAACCAGTGGTCATGAAATCAGGCCTTGGTTCTGAAAGAAGAGCTTGACTTTGACTCTGGCAGCCAGAAGGTGTAGGTGATTTTGATGGGATATCTAAAAACCAGAAAGAAAAGTGTGTGGTCCTGCAGTTGAGCAACTAGTATACTCTCTCTAGTAAGAACCACCTCTGTGCTGCTTCCAAGGCTAGAAAGAACATGCTGTCCACATGATGGTGTATTTCTCTCCACATCACTTCCTCTCTGGCTGGAGCAAATTATTTACTTTTAAAATATAAAACACAGTTTTAGGAAGCAGAAGAGATGTCATATTCCTTTGGTCCTGACCAGGGCAAGCATCTGCTTGTGATTGTCCCCATGGCCCCCTCTCCTCAGCCAATCCTGTAGAAGCTGGCAATCGTAGAGGTCATTTCTGGTTTTCCTCCAGGGACATTAGGCTCTGATTTTTCTCATGTGCAGTGGCCACAGCTGCTATGTTGCCCTGCCGTCATCCGGTTGCTGTGACTTATGAGGTTGTGAATGTGCCAAAACGTGAATCTATTAATTTAACAGGAACTGGGCTCAGCACATATATTCCTTGTTAGGTCATTTGCTTTGCTACCTAAACCACATCCAATGTGTTCAGCAATGGGCACATTTCCTAGAGTCTGGCTTTGCAAAAACGTCAAATGCCCTGAATTTTGAGTCTGCACAGTTTTACATGATTAAATTACTATGAAGAACATAAAGGCATTCCAGCATAAGGATGCATACAGATCAGTTCAAGGAAAAATTAAGGGGCCATATATGGGTAAAGTCTCTGGTCTTCATTCTTTATGCATTTAGATCCTCTCTGCAAGAGGGGTATGCAATAATATCCTAGGAATCCCTCCCTGAGCCCTGGGTGCATCTAGTCTGAGATCTCCAACACCAGACTAGGTGGTATGTGAAAGGAATCATGGTCCTTTTCCATTGGGTTGAGCACACAGGCATTTTTCATTCATCCATTAAGCTAACTCTCACTGAGTATCCACTACTGAGTGTGCTAGGGATGCAAAGATGACAAAGTGTCTCCTTAATGGGACAAAATGACACTTAAATTACAATGTAACAAGAGAAGTACTAGAATCAATCTCTGCATAGGGCTCCATGAAATCTCAGAGAAGACAGCAAGTAATGTCAGGGAAGAAAAACCAGTATTTTTCTTAAAAAAAAAAAGTATGTGTGTGTGCACGCGCGCATGTGCTATAAAAATCATCAGGATGTGTTGCATTAAGTAATAGTAAGCATTGTATCATGTAATGTTTGTTTCAGAATGTAAAATAAATAGCCTCAGCAACTTAGCAAGGCTGTAAGCAACCTAGGGAGAGTGTGTCTCAAAATAAAAAATAAAAAGGGCTAAGCGCCCTTGGGTTCAATCCCTGGTACTGGAAAAAAAAAATTATATATATATATATATATATATATATATATATATATCTCCTACATTCAAATGAAGAAGTGTGAGCATTCTGGGGTTGGAGTGATAAATACTAATAACTAACACACACTGAGGGCCTCTGATGGGCCAAGTATCAAGGTGCCATCCCATTTTATTGTTGCAGAGACTAGCCATGACTTAAAGGTTTTCCAAATCTTTCTAAAGACTCCCTCCTTGGTCAATCAAAGGTGGATTCCAAATGCTGAGCTCCTTGAGTCCTCTCTTAACAGAGTAGAGGCTCTTTCCACTCAAACAGCAAGGCCAGCTCTAAGGCAGAAAAAGATTCACCCTCTTTCTAGTCCTTCAGGTAGTGGAGAGGGGAAAGAGGAGAGTGGAGAAGGTCAGAAGCGCATCATGCTTTTCCTCCTCTCCAGGTCTTGTAGAGGAGCCAGAAAGGTG